TATAAGTAAGCTTGACGTAAACAAACTTGACCTCTAGCACGAAGAGGGTTTGGAATTTTTGCCCCTTATGTTCTTAGTGGATTATACGCAGGGTTTACAAGTGTTCTTGTTACCTCGCATAAGGGCCATATACCCGGGGCCGAGAGTATCGATATATATCCCAATAGTACCTACTTCTTCCACGTACGACCATAGGATCTGGAAAATTCGGGATCCCGTCCGCTCTCCCCTAGACAAGCCGGATACCGCCGGACTAGTAGTTGGGTCGGTGACGACCAGCGAATCCCTGGTGTTGTACGTTTATTTTTGTTTATTTTTATTTTTTATGTTTTATTTTTTTACTTCTAATACCCTTCTTTTCTGAGGGGCTTTTTTTTCTTTTCTGTAATATATTGGTCTTGGGTTTACTATTTTCTTGATTTTTAATTTGGCGTTGGTATTGATGTTGCGTTTCTTGAGTTGTGTTAGGGGATAAGTGGGTTAGGGGTGGATTCAGGGGTAGATGTACTCCTATATAAGAGGCGCACAGCACCCTCAGAGGACAGAAGACTAAGCGTTGATAGTTCAATTAAACTATCCCGAAATTTACTTTATGTATGAAATCAATCAAAGATTCTCTCTAATAAACCAGCCTTATCAGCCCCTATTTAGCTGCGTTACACTTGTCTACTTGACTTAAGGCTATGTACTCAGGCGCTACTTGGAGTATAACTAGGGAACATGTTATAATATAAATCTCCTTGACGTAACTTTTATCTCCCAAGATGCAATAGAGCTACGAATTATCCCCTGTATTTCTCTATAACCCCTTAATCACTCCGCTTATACGGGGAATTTTAGTACCTCACCATCGGCCCCTTTAACGTATTGAGTAAGGATAACTTAGCTACCATCTAACTAACACGAATCGGCTCTATGAATCTCTCTAGACCCCCATGTAAGAACTAACCGAGACTACCGAAGGATTCTACTTATATATAATACCTAGGTTTCATTCATACCGAATGGCAACCCTGGATACATGGCATACATATGTATGCTACAGGAAAGATAGCCTTTAAAAATACCACCTGTACGGCGAAAAGCTCAATGTAGATTACTCGTGAGTAAATTCCTCATAACCGTCTGGGTCAGGGTGCGCTAAGATACCTTCTACCCATACACCGCTCCTCGACTTCAACGCTAACAAGCTGTCGTCTACCTCACATATGAGATCACTACAAACCTCTCGTTCAACATGAACTTCCACAGACTGGATATTGGTGATATCCATATTGATCATAGTAGTAGGAAGATGTTCTTGTTTATGTCGCTTATAGTAGTACACTGACGTGCCCTCGAAGCAAAACTCTACGAAAAACAAACGGATGGTACTGTTTGGCGAACCAATATGTCTCACTGGCCATACCAAGTCGACTGATTCTCTCACGATATCGATGCCCCTTTCTTCCGCAAGTGTGGGTCGTGGGTATGGGTTGATATCAGGGAAGTCTGGCCAGCTCGGTAAGAAGCGAGGATAAGCTATGAGGAACAGGTATTGTAAATTGATAAGTTTATCCTTGATGCACTGGACAATTTGCATCCATTGGCTGAAATCGGAATAGCATAGATGGATTTGCAGTGATCGAATATTGTGTAATAATGTATGGCTAGAGATAAAGCTGGTAAAAATTTCGGTTACTTCTTTTCCAAGTTTGGGTGACATGTAGTGGTCGTAATTTATAGTGAGGTGATTCATGGAGAAGAATACACTCTGTGCGGCTGCATAAAACTCCTTACTGACCAGTAACAATGGTGTCGGAGGCTGCCAACAACGGCAATGTGGTGAGTAAGAGGCATGTCTTACACTGCAAAAGCAACCCGTAATACAAGCATATCTGCCCTCCACATTTCTCCCACAAGCTTGAAACTGGCAGGCATAATGGGTACAGTCGCTACAATTCTGATGTGGGCATAATATTCGGCACTGATCTCTATCACCAATACATGCTCTGTGGGCATCAGGGTGACATGTATGAAACGGAGGTTCGTATGGTGCTTCACAAGAATAGTGCTGGAGACAGTATTTATGATCTGAGATCCATTGAACATGATTTAAAGGCGTAACTAGGTCAGTATACCTTAATATCTCCAGCTGGATCTCCAGTGGAAGACGTAGAAAGGGAAAGTTTCCGGGTTTGAGTTCCCGCTGTCCTAGGGCATGTAGGGCAGCCTTTCGAGCTATGTCTTTAAGTTGGCTATTAGGCTTGTGACTGAGTCGGATTTCGCAGCTGGACAAGGAATGTAGGTGACGAAGGGGTGTAACAGCAAGGCATGCGGTCTCTTCATCATCCACATCGCAAATTAGGCTGAGCTTAAGGTTTTGAGGTTTCATTTGCGAACTGATAAATCGTACTGTATCTTCCCAGCTTTCGAGTAGAGTATGGTGATCGGGGATAGTGCTAACTATTGGTCTGATATCGCTGCGACATTTTGGAAGCTCGCCACAACAATTCCTGAAATACATAGCGTTCAGGGAGAACTTTAAGGATGATAGAGACGGTATGAAAGAAGTAGGAAGCTGATATAAGGACTGCGGATATTTTGTGCAGAAACGATTGGTGGAGAATAGTAGATGGGATGCTTCTTTGTAGATAGCTCGACAGGTGATAAGTAGATTGAGAGAAAATGTAAGGTCAGGTATGTCTTTGTAGTGTTCTGGTTCCATACGCAGACGGATTCTCCTACGCTCTTCGCGATTCATGTAGATATCGGTGTTGGTGACTAGGCCAGCTGAGTAATAAATGCGATGTCGAATGGTGGCAGGGAGATCTAGAAATGATCGCGGCATAGCTTGTTCCATTTTGCTTCGCTTAGAAAGTAGAGGAAATGGTTCTGTTAGATGAGATGCGAGTAAGATGAGATAAGATGAATTATGAGTATTCTATTGTAGAGTTGAAAGTTTTCTCTTTACGTCAAATGTGACCAATGGATTTGTGGGTGTTGGCTACCTCAAGTTATGTTTGTTCCTTCCAGCTATCTAATATCACGTGTCGTTAAAAAGTGACTTTTCTAACTCTATTAATAATAAGCTGGTTGTAACTTCCTTTGGTCCTCAACTTCGAAGATCGATAAACATTTAGTAAGTCAAGAATCCTCTGTTGGTAAGCTTCAACCTCAATCTCAAGTTATACCTCTTAGCCTCTCTAATTAAAAGTCTGGAAGCTTTCGTAACACCAAACAGGTACCTAACGCTAGGGAGTGGTGTTGTAAGCTCGTTTGGGGTTAGAGGAAGAAAAGACATTCTTTCATGTAAGGGCTCATTACTATGGCGGTTACGATTCCTTGGGAATTATCAACTCTCTGTTACTAAAGCAGGAGCCCCGAAATATGCAACTAACATCATTTAAATGTAGCTGATTTTGATTAAATTATTGTGTTTAGCTGCTTCTCTATTTACTATTTATAACACTGGTCGATTAGAATCTCTTATCTGATCTTTAGCCTCTAAGTATCGTCGCTACGACTTGTTGATTACGATATGTGCGTGCGCAGTTAACGCCGTGGCTGACCTCCCTAGAGCCATACGGCGCGTAAGGCTACCTAATGATCTTAGTATCTTACAAGTCTTACCTTAAAGAGACATATATGATCATTCAAGCCTTTCCAACCTTGATCACTATATGGGAACTTATTGGCTATAGTGGCATTGTTGGTAGATCATCTATAACCACCCTGACTCCAATGATGTAGTGTTCACTATAACCGCCAGGTTGGTGTTAAAATATATCCTAACATGTAATATTTCTTGTCACAAGGATTGGGGGAAGGGAGTATTGGACTATCCATCCAACACTAATCTATGTACGTAGAGAGTTCGTGCAAGATATATAACTCAATGGAAGGACTAAATAGGATAAGAGAAAGCAGAGTCCTACATCCTGATCAGCACCCTATACCTATATCTACATTATATACTTATTTAACAGCTCATATTATATATATTCTTACCACTTTGATCAATATCTGCTGCTTCTTTGGCGTAGCCAGAGCTGTCTCTCGTTATATGCCCCCGGCTGATGGACATCGTGCAATGGAATTGTTTATAAGTAGCCGTGGTAGTTCTGGCGACTTCGATAAAAAGACATGGCACGCCTCATGCATAGAAAACCGGTTTGACGAGATCAATATGGATATTTTACACAGGATAGCCAGTGCGCACTTCAACTGGCTATTAGCCCAGCAAGACCAATATAATATTATCGATCAATTTGGTGGCTGCCTTTTATCCTCCTTGTGGACACCAGATACTAATTCGGTCTATCTTTCGATTAGGGCAAGAGGTCCGTATTGGGGGGTAATTATTAACGATAAATAAGGCGCTCCAGTTTGGCGTTCCCGGGCCGAAAAGTGGAAGAAGAGTAGCAAAGGCGATATTCATGTCGAGGACGCTATGTACATACCATTGATTTGAAGAAGTTAGGAAGAGCGCTGGCCATTCTATCTGGCATCTTCTAGACAGTGGCTCAGCAGAAACAAACTATCCCGAAGGATCTACGATAGCTACCTGGGGCTTTCACGGTCAAGGGGCTCAAAGTAATCCGGCTATAAAGAATGTTAGACATCCAATCAGTTTGTGCAGCGCCAGAGACCAGAGAGGGATGACCTATGGGCAGATGGTAGACGGTATCGGCGTAAAATACGAGCCAGTTACCAATCAACCCCATTCACGGCTGTCTATACGACAAATTAAGGTCTACTTATTCAAACCAAGCATGCCGTGAGTATTAAAGCTGTAGGAGGTGTACCTAGCCACTTATAAATGGACCCCGTTTCTATAAATAAAGGGTCCTCAGAAAATGAGATGTCGTTAAACGGTCTATAAGTGTCTAGCTAGCTAGTTGTTGCCGTGAAAAGAAAGCTCAGTCAAGACTGTTAATCCTGGCATTTTGGATACCATCTGCCCTCATCATCCGGCTAACCGACCGCAACTCAATTTCTTCTTCCTTGGGAGCATCGACTTAAGCGCTGGGCTGCGATAACAAGGTCTTCAATTCCTCAGCAGCTTTCTGTATGGTCGGAATGTGCTCTGCTTCCCAGGCCTTCACGGTCTCGTCTCCTAGTTTCCCTGTGCCGATGATGGCGAATAAGTCCGGCTTAGCAAAAGCTAGCTGAGGCCGCGTTTCGACAACCTTGAGGCCCATGTTGGTGAGAACCCCCTTGGCCTGCTCACTAGCGTTGGCGCCACCTCCACCACCGTAGCTGACGATGGCAACCGGCTTTCCCTTCCACTCGTGCAGTAAGTAGTCGATGGCGTTCTTGGTGCCTCCAGCCATCGAGTAGTTGTACTCGGGGATGACGAGGACATAGCCATCGTACTTGATGATCTCAGCGCTCCAGGCCTTCGAGTGCTCATATTCGAAAGAGGCCTGCTCGGGCACCACTGCCAGTTGTGTTAGGCCGAGTTCCCAAGAGAGATTATAAACTATTTCTTTATATTCTTTGAGGTTGCATAGCAATGTAAAAATGAGAGTGTAATAATGAGAGAAGAGAAAATGCTATATATATAAGAGCCTACTTACTGATGGGAGCTACTTTTTCGTTATAGACGGGGAGGTTGAACTTGACGACGTCCACATCAGTAACGGATATACTGTCTGCTGCCAGAGGCTTCTCGATAATATTCCGGACGAAGCTAGCTACATTGGGTCCAGCCCGGGTACCCCGGGTACTCATTGTAATAACAGCGACTGATTTCGGAGCCATCTTGAAGTTTTTCTTGACGTTAGGCCAAGAGAGCAAGAGAGAGAGAGATGTCTAAGAGAGAGAGATGTCTACGAAAGAGAGTAAGATTTAGTAGGAGGGTGGGCGTGGTGTTTTAAGTCCGATATATTTCACCCTAGGGCATGTACGTCTCAAGGATATATCCGGCTTCGGGTCCCTTAATTATTGTTGAGCTATGGTCTCTTATGTATATAAGGTATCAATGCAGTAGGTCGCAACATTATAACCCGGTGTTAGAGCACATGCAGTATTCGCAGGCTCGGATGTGTGACAAGTCCGCCCCGGCACCGGGGTATTGGATTTGTAAGGAGGATTGCATCTTAAAAAAATGATATCGTAAGCTAAGTACGTGATGAGAAATAAGCTACCTATATGAATTCTTGTCTGTTTCCTATTACGGAATACTCTAGTCTCTAGGCCAGAGACTTGTCGGACTATCGGATCCTTCTTTTTCAACTTATTTACTCTACTATCTACTTCACTACTACACTGGAGTTCGTAACCCGTGTCCATCGGGCACTGGGTCCGTTCGGACGCGGCTTGCGACAAATATTCAATGTCTTTGCATGGCACATGTACATGGTGATATTGTACATTAGAACAGCTCGTTGAATTCTGATTGGACAAAAGCAAGATTTTTGACTAAATTGAGTAAATGGCGGGGCCGATAAATACGTGGGTACTTACTGCGCACACGGAATGTGGGGAAGGAAAGCAACGCCGATGGGTGGGCTACCCTACGCCCGAACAAGGTACGTTTTCCTTATCGCCGATGACCATTTCGGGAACTTATCTTCGAGGAATTGAGAAACTTTTGTAATTGGAGACTTCCGTATTATAGGTGTTATATAATGCTGACAGTTTACCTGTCACAGAAATTACAGCAGAGCCTCCGTATTAACAAATCAAAGCTGCCGAGATTACGCGATCAGCAGCCACAACTCTTCAACCCAGCCTATGTCTAAGACAGAATAATATGACACAAGGTAGTTTCTATGCTTCATTACGTACCCATGCCGACGAGGCTCTCAACTACACGTATTTATGTAAAATTGTCCCCCGCAGAAACAGGACAAAGCCCGGTAGATGAGAATATCCGTTGTGGGGTCCCCGGCCTGGCGGTGATTATGTCCCCGGCTTCACGATATAAAAGAGATTTATTGGTCAACCCGGGATTTTGGAAGCCCGTAATATCTCATCGACTGGACGCCACAATCCGGACACAAAGTTAAATACCGGCTCAATAACGAGCCGAATGATACTCTAGTTCGGTGTGCGAGTAGAGCAAACAGGCGGGACGGAGGAAGTCTCTAAGCCGCCCGGTCGTCTCTCTTACCCCCAAGCTGGACGCGTAGTCCCATCATCACGATCAATAATTCTTATTCTTAAGCGTGCCAAATCTATTTATGTATTGATTGTTGAATCCTCATCTGTCTTAATACGCCTCAGTTGCGCGCCGATTCTGCTCTCAATACAAGGTAAATATCATTATACCATGTAATGAGCTACGAAGATGAACAGACTTCAATAATTGTGTTTCCGAAATCCCATATTATGTCTCCGAAAGACCCAAAAGTTTTTTCGAGGGAACCTATCGCGCTCAAACCCGGAAATCAATAAGCAATTGCTAAACACTTGATAAATAATTAATAAGCGACTAATAAGAACGTGATAAGATGACTTTTCTCAAGAGCATTACCTATTAACGCTTGAACTCGAGGCGGAGTGGGCATTTTAAAGACTCCCTACCTAGCTAGTATTCTGGTATGACAACTATAAGCATTATTGCCAGGTAAAACTAGGATACATCTTAGGTATGTAAGTATGGTCTAGAATTTGCATTTTTAATATACGTATCTTTGCTAGGTTGGCGTCAGTTTTATGAACATTCTTACTCTTGGTCTTCTGGTTTTTCTTCTTCTTTTTGTTAAAAAAATGAAAAAAGGGGGAGGGGAGGGGGAAGTTATACGCTGCCGGTAGTCTCACCTCATGATGGAAAAAGGTGCAAGTGATAGCACTATAAATTAGGTACGTATTAGTTAGCTATCCTAAAATCCAGATGATGAGATGGCCACTCAGTCCTAAGAATAGTCTTCTAATGAAAAAGCTTCATATAATCCCTAAGTATACATCGCCATCCAAACTTTTATTGGCTCGTATCCATCAGGAGAAAGACCTAGCAAGCATGAAAAAACTCCGCTATTCTGCGATGAATTTTGGTCCTAAACTATGGAAGCCAACGGCTATACATAATTTGGTTTAAGATGTCCTATCTATAGTATTAACAAGATTTCAATAAAAGTCATCAGCCCCGAACTAGACTCCGATCCGGTTACAACAACCTGAGCTCACTTTAAACCGGAGTTATGCCCCTTCTTATGATGATACCATCAAGAACTACAATTAGATCATATTTCTGAGCGGCGTATTCTAATACGCTGGTGTTGTGGTATCGTGGGTTGGGAGACAATAGGGTGACCCCGTAGGGTAGCTGCTAAATATGGGGTCTATATAAGGAGGATATGTCTGCCCCGATTCTTGGGTGTATAGATTGATACAATTACCAACTATACTATTAGGTAGCTAGGCCCATGCCTCTTACTACGTACTACACGATCTGTAATGCATGTTTCTTGGACGAATACTACTACATATGTAATGTATACTTAATCCTTGCGCTGGAAATTATATTTTTCTCGAAACCATCTCATGGGTGTAAGCATCTAACCTAGGTATCTTTCGTTATCTCCATTGTTACCCAATAAATATATGCCCGAGTTTACGAGGGGTTATTGTGTCGAATTTTTTCTATGGCCCAATTAGGAAATATTTCTTCGCTCAAATAGGAAAGTAACTCAACTCAATGGGCAGTAACTGGCACGTGCATGATTATGTAAACTCTATAACAATCCCTGACAGATCGTAAGGTATGCTTAGATGTTAGGCATCTTTGTATAGCTATTTCGCCTATCAAATAAGCACTATATTGAGGGTAGGTATTAGGAACGTTAATATTAATAAAGAACGTCTTAAGCAAGTTTAGGTACCCAGGACAACAAGGTGAAAGTCACGTGTAATTCATCTTTATATCGTACCTGTCCTAGAGTTGCCGGAGCTTTCTAATTGTGGGTACCTAGCATCTATGCTGTGCACTTATATGATAATGATGCAGTGATGGTGGGGCATTGGGCTTATCAAAGGACTGTTAGCAGATTTAAGCATATCAACCCCACTATGCCCCTCTTTCATTTATCCCGTACCTAGAAACTGCCTATGCACAGACCACTAGCAAGCTTTATTAGTGGTTGTGGTTGCCTCGTCGGCCAAACACTTGCAAGGCAACAGTAAAATGTCAATAAAAGAATTAAAAAAAAATAGTAATTGGCTTAACGCTAAATACTAAAAGATGCACTACGTAGAAAGCGGAACCTAACATTGTCCAAATCTCCCGCCAACAACTTTTCCTAACCGTAAACGCACACATACACGCATCAACTCTAGCATTCCAACTCTTTCGGCCACGACGAGCAGCAGCCATCATGGCTTCAGACCTGGGCCTTATAGCCCAGATGTTGGATGCGACTCTCGACCCTGTGAAGCATAGGAAAGGTACGTAATAGAGCTCTTCTGCCCCGCCCTACGGTGTCGCATATAAGTTGTCGCTATTCCCACTCTGCGACCACGGCTATTATAGCTTTTAGCTGGCATGCAAACTGATATTTAAATTGTTAATAGCCGAGAACGATCTCAAGGCTGAAGAAAAGAAACCTCAGTTTTCGCTACAGCTGCTCAAGATAGTAGCGACCGAGAATCTTCAACCCAAGACCCGCCTTGCCGCAGCACTTTGCTTCAAGAATTACATCCGACACAACTATGTGGTATGTTGTTATGAGCGGTACAATCTAACGCTATGATACGTTTAATGCTAATTCCTACACTATTTAGGATGAAGAAGGCAACTACAAGCTTCCTATCGAGGAAGTTAACATGATAAAGCAAGAACTTATTGGGCTTATGATTGCTTGTCCCTCTACCATCCAAACGCAGTTAGGTGAGGCTATCAGTATAATTGCTGACTCGGATTTCTGGAGTCGATGGGATACCCTTGTTGCCGATCTCGTATCGCGCTTTTCGCCTGATAACTTTAAGGTCAACAATGGCGTGCTTGAAGTCGCACACTCTATCTTCGTCAGATGGCGGCCGCTGTACCGCTCTGATGATCTGTACACTGAGATCAACCACGTTCTAAACACATTCGCTGCGCCATTCCTAAATCTTCTGGGTGTAAGGACTCATCCCCGCCAGTTGCTCTAGGGTTGCTTTCAGCTAATACTAGGATAGGCTACGGACCAACAGATCACTGCTCATGCCAACGACAAGGAGGCCCTGAAGGGTTACTTCGACACGTTAAGTCTACTCATCAAAGTGTTTTACGATCTATCCTGCCAGGATATGCCGCCCCAATTCGAATCGAATTTGCCACACCTATCGACCCTACTTCACAACTACTTAACCTACGAAAACCCGCTGCTAGAGACAGACGACGATTCAGAAGCTGGCGTAGTTGAAATAGTCAAGGCTGACATCTGTGAAGTTTTGCAGCTTTACGTTACGAAATTTGACGACGATTTCGGCCGATTCGCACAGGTTTTTATTAATAGCGCGTGGAATTTACTCTCCGCAATTGGACCCGAGACTAAGTACGATAATCTCGTCAGTAAAGCGCTACATTTCCTGACGGCAATTGCTGCAAACCCACAGCACTCCCGAGCTTTCAACGACGAATCCGTTTTGGGACAAGTTGTAGAAAAGGTGGTGCTACCCAATGTTGCGTTGAGAGAGTCCGATATTGAACTATTTGAGGATGAACCTATCGAATTTATCCGTCGTGACCTTGAAGGGTCAGACACAGATTCACGACGAAGGGCAGCTACCGACTTCCTAAGACAGCTTCAAGGCGAATTCGAACAATTGGTCACCAATGTCGCAGGAAGATATATTAACCACTATCTGGAGCAAGGCAAGACGAACTGGAAGGACAAGGATACGGCTATCTCACTGTTCTTATCGATCGCAGCCAAAGGAGCGGTGACTGCAGCACATGGCGTCAGGACAGTCAACTCGCAGGTCAATGTAGTCGATTTCTTTCAGCAGCACATTGCTAATGACCTTGTTTCCGATGCGGGTGTCGAGCCAATCTCCAAGGTAGACGCAATTAAATACCTCTACACCTTCCGAAGCCAACTGTCCAAAGAGCAATGGCAGGCTGCGTTCCAACCCCTGATCCAGAACATGGGCTCGTCGAATTACGTCGTTTATACATACGCAGCCATCTGTGTTGAGAGGCTACTATACTTAGCAGATGATTCTGGCGCTCGCTTTTTCGGTAGAGCTGACATCGAGCCTTTCGCGAAAGATCTCCTTGACCATCTCTTCAAGCTTGTAGAGAAGGAGAACTCGCCGGCAAAGATGCAAGAAAATGAGTTCCTTATGCGTTGTATCATGCGGGTGCTAATCGTTATGAACACTGGCATCTCAAGTTTTGTTGATATGGTTTTGGATCATCTAGTTGGGATCACAAATATCATCAAAGCTAACCCGAGCAACCCGCGCTTTTACTATTATCACTTCGAAGCTCTAGGTGCAGTTGTAAGGTAAGTTTCATCATCAAATTACCCCCCTGTGGACTTCAACTAAACAAAGTAGCTTCGGCTCGTCTGGTGGGACGGCAAAATTAGAGGAGCGGCTATGGGCACCTTTCAATGCAATAGTAACGGAAGATGTAAACGGTATGTGCGAAGATTTTTCATGTCGAGATACCCGATACTAATGGATTATATTTTAGAGTTCATGCCGTATGTGTTTCAACTCTGGGCCAAGCTACTGGAACTCGAACCAACCGGCGCACTTCCCAACCAATACCAGGCGTTGGTACGACCTTTGATGATGCCAACGCTTTGGGAAACGAGAGGAAACGTCCCAGCGCTCACGAGATTATTAGCTGCCATAATACCTAGAGCATCCCGCATTATAGTAGCAGAAAACCACATTCAGTCGGTTCTAGGCATCTTCCAGACTCTCCTTGCCGGCAAGAAGACAGAGCAGAACGCGTTCGATTTGCTAGAGTCAATTACTATATCTATCGAGAGGTATGTCTTGCCCAATAGAATCGGTAGTACGCCGCTAACCCTATCCTTAGAAGCGCTTTGGAGCCTTACTTTAAAGAAATATTGTCTCTTCTTTTCACAAAGCTCCAAAAGGCCCCGTCTGATTCGTTCAAGCTTCGATTCGTACGATTCTATCACCTAGTGTCAGCCAGGGTGGAAGCAGGCTTAGGCGCAGATTTCTTCGTCAGCCAAGTAGACCTGATTCAGAACAATCTATTCACTCAGATCTACCTTAGCATCATTCTCCCAAGCTCGGAGCTGCTTGTGCGCCCGATCGATCGCAAACTCGCCGTTATCTCATTCGCCAAGTCGATGGGAGATAGCGCTGCCTTTGCCCAACGTTACCTCAAGGGGTGGCGATTCACATGCGAAGCGATGCTGAAGTTGCTACTAAATCCACCAAAGGTAGCAGGAGGGGTTGGGGATGATGTAGTTAATGAGGCGGACGTAGACGACATCGGCTTCGGCTTAGGTTTCACTGCTCTCAATACATGCAAAAAGACTGCTCGAGATGATTACGCCGAGATCCAGGACATCACGATTTGGGTGCGGCAATACCTTACTGAGGCTAATGCTCGACACAATGGCGCAATTGCCCAATATTTGCAGGTGAGGCTTACGGACGAGGGAAGACGAGCAATGGCAATCTACGTAAGCTAGATGCGGCGGCTGGAATTAGGTAGAGTAAAAATACATGACATAATGGACGGATGGCCATGTGAGAAACGAGCGTCTCAGGGCCGTTTGAAAAAAAGGATTTGTAAGGCTGTTCTCAAAGGATCTTAGTCTTTGGCGTATCACAGGCATACACCCGGCCGCCATAGTTGGTGGCCTACATACTTGAGGTAGATAAGATAAATAGTTCAGTTCCGGGATAAGCGTATCTCGGCCCGGGGCAAAATAAATGACAAAAATAGTAGATAGTCATATGGCCTTTTTGCTACAATGCGGTGATATTTTTTTGAAAGTCTCCATTTAAGGAGAATTGATTTGCATTGCTGATATCTCGATATCTCGATATCTTAGGTACCTCTTGATAGGTACCTTGAAATATTTATTAAAATGAAATATTGACTGAATGAGAGATAGTGGGGATTACTGTGCAGCAAAAGCTGGAAGGTAAGAAAGATTAGTCACCTCAGCTTGCATCATCTGAGCCACAGCTAGGGATAAGCAGGGATATGGATTGGTTAAAACGGAGAAAGAGATGGCGCGGAAGCTGCAGGAGAACTAAAAGGGTTATATTGTGGGGAAATCTTTTGTAAAGAACGACATTCAAAGTTCCCCAAGATCCCCCCCCAAAAGGTCCCCCAATCTTCATTAACTACCAGACTATCAAACTACCAAACTACCAAACTACCAAGATCTTTCTCTTTATGTAACCCATAGTAACATAGCCACCATATACATAGCCCATGTAGCTTGTTTGCTCAATCAACAACTGCATATCGACTGCATCTCCCCCCCGAAGCCGACATCGAAAAAAAGCTTCCCGTCCTGTATCTCCCCAATCCCCAATGTACTACCACGTTTCACCATCCAAACGAACACAAACTAGAGCCCACCGAAACCGTTTATTTCTACCGCCGCCGCCGATACCACCGCCCTCTTCACGACCTATTCGGTAGTGGTCAGGAAGAAAGAGGGTGTAGAGGAATTAAGCCTGTAATATTACGAGCTACCAAGCTACTAAGCTACCAAGTTACCAAGTTACCAAGTTACCAAGTTACCAGGCTGGGCCAATTTCTAAACGAGGACGAGTCACGCGTTTGTGTTCGGTCGGAATCCCACACTTGAGAGGGACGCTTGAAATTTATATTGGCTCTTCGTATCACCTTTTGATTTTCTTTTCCCCTTCCCACCCTTATGCAAGACCCGATTTGCTCGTAAGTCCACATCTTTTGATTGCCCACATACCGCCTACCTACTATGCCGTCTTCCGTAATCGCTCATGGAATCTTGTCCCGTACTACTGAACACGGGTACTGTTTGTTTTCGACTACATTCAACCATGAAGCTATGCTCCCACAGCTAATATGTTTCGCCGTATAGCTTTTCTGGGCCGGAAGGCCGGTGAAGAACGGCAGACTGAAGAAATGTCACCATCACCTGGAGATGATGGCTCCTCACCTCAAGATACTAAAGGCAGTAGCGGGCTCGCCAGCGTCTTCAAAGGTCTCGCCGGTGCTGCTAAGTTAACCAAATCTCCCCCGGCTCCTGTGCAATCATCTGGTCCCTCTATCAGTGTACAGATTGCCGAACGTCTCAGCGCTACACCAAATATCCTCCGCGGTATACCATCCCAGCATGCTGAATCGTTTGAGCTGTTGAAGAATGGATCGATGACCCAGCGAGTCGCAGCAGCTGATGCATTACGCCATACTGTTGCAGATTATCCCCTCAGTCCAGTGCTGGATATTTGGTACGCAGCTAAAGATCTGGTTGATCCTACTAATCCTAAGACGGTTCGATATTCCGGCTGGGAACTTCTGAGGGAATGTGTTAAACATACCTCTTCAACTGACTTGGAGCGCAACGAGTACTTCCAGACTATATCCGCCGAAGCCAACCCGGAAGATTTCCATTTACAACTGGCTGCTCTTGTCGATTTAACGAACCATGCCCGAAATCTGTCCGGGTTTGATTATGATGTGTTCCCATTATTGTCTAGGTGGCTCGAGGAAGCATTCGAAGCAGTACGAGCGGCAAGAGGTGCCGCGAAGAAACAAGGGTCGCGGATGAAGGGGAAGGCGTTAGTGACCGGTGAAGATAGAAACTTTACGGACCTGTTCAGTTTCATTACCGACGTAATCAAGTTCAATTTCAACGTCGCTGATGATGATGCTGCCGAAGTTTTGATCGAAAAGCTACTGGATATCTGCATGAACACTAGTGTTGAAGAGGATCTACAGGCGTGTATTGGCATTATGGATGCTATTGTGACCTTTGGAGCGATTCCCGCGGACAAATTAAAGAGCTGCGTTCATGTCCTCTGCTCTATACATTGTCTCGTTCCCAGCCTACAGAAAGATGCGTGGCATACCATGAGCATGCTATGTCGGTCGCACAATGGACATACTACCGTGAGGCTACTTCTTGATGTTTTGGCGAGTCTCCCGGAAAATGCAGATAAGAAAAAGGAAGTTGTTCGTGAGGTCAGGGGCGCACTGTCAGTGCTCACTAAGCTTGTGTCGAAGAGTTCCGAGAAAGGATATCCAGCAGTTCCATATGCTCTTTTGGTCGATGGCCTATCCACAGTGGTCCATGCTACGTCTGCTTGGAAAATCCATCTCGATATTTTACGACTAACGAATTCGCTATTCTGCGACAGCCAGGGCAATATTAATAATATGTTGGCTGATGAAGATTGGACACCTGTTTTTGACGTCGCGGTCATATGTGCCGGGGTTGTTGTCGAGTCCCTTACCAAACCTGAGAATCCCATTGAATCGCTCCTAGCCCCAGAAGAGAACGATTCTGCTGAGAGCATGCTGGCTCGAGAATTGATGAAGTTAATACGTCGCCTTGAGAGCATACTCTTGGATGAATTTCCTGCTATTACGCAAAAACAAGAGGGTGCGTCTTTAGATCAAGGAGATACCGACAGTCAGAAACTAGAGGCTATACAACCAGAGCAGCCTAATACCCTTATTCAAAGACAAGATTGTATTCTCTTCTTTACTAAAATCCACCGCGCTCTCCCCGACTCTGGGGCAATCTTGGTGCTTGAATATTTCAAGAAGTTCCGATGTTGTTCGCCCTCAGATCCTCTTTGGGAGACCAATTTGAGCCTAGTATTGGATGCGTTTTTAGCAGATAGAAAACGATCAACTGACGTTCGTCTGCGCGCCCTGCAGGCCTTTACAGAGGTTTACGACATGATCGAACTCATTAATGATCAGTTCGAGCCAGATTTCATTCCAGAATTAGTGAAGCGCTTATTAGCGGATGTGGCGGGAGAGGCCGATATTATATTACTACAAGAGATCGTATCATTTGCTGTTGGCGTTGCTAGCACGGCACCCTTCTCCCTTTTCTCTTACGTTATCGACACGCTTCGAGGTATAGTCGGGAATAATCGACTGCGTTCCATATCTTCTTCGCTTTCTCTTCCCCCGGAGCAGACATCAACTCCGCAACACATAAAGTCAGCTGTGAATCAAACTCCATCTAACGTAGTTGTACGGGGCTATGTGCAAATATTCTTACGAGTTCTAAATTACGACGCGACCAAATCAGTGCGGTTGTTTCATGTTCTCGTATCAATAGCCGAGTTAAACTCCAGCGAAACAGATGCCCGTATCACTGCGATGCAACTACTATTCCGCCTAAGAGCAGATTGGGCCAATCGTATATTTGTCACTGCTCATACTGAGACGAACAGTCTAGCTACGTCCTTATACCGAACAGAGGAGTCAATGACGCGTAAACTCGCCGAGGAAGCTTCATATACCGGGAGAAACTCACGAAGTGAAGCTGCTGGGTCTGCTCGCTCATCACGCGGTATATCCCTTGGACACGGTCAGATGCAAGACCGGGGTTATCCGTTAAGGTCAGGAAGTGGTAGCAAAATGGCCACGAGTGCGTATCAACCGCTGTGGATCGCCTCTGATACGGATGCCTTGCCAGAAGCTCCATCTCAAGCTGCAAGCATGGTACTTTATTGCAGCACTTCTGATGATACTGCCGAAGTAGATGGCTTGTCACAGGTAAAGGTTTTGGAGACCAGGATATGGCTTGAGGTGATACTGAACTTGGTGCGGCAAAGCTGTGATTGGGAAGTTTACAGCTTCATCCTTGTCCACCTACCCTCTCAGCTGAGCAACCATGCTATTTTTCAAAATGCCACCGTAGAACTCCAGGAATTGAGACGGGTGATTTGTGAACAGATCAAAATGAATAATTTCCAGGAGCCTCCAAGTGTTTTCGGATTGCGCCGAGCAGATGTTGCTATTTGTCTTTTCCATACTTTGACTATGATCCTCAGTTACCACCAATACTTTCAAAAAGCAGAAGAAGACGAGATTGTTCGCACGTTCGTGCATGGTATAGCAACGTGGGAACGAAGTGCGAAATGTTGTATACACGCACTTACTATATGCTGTCACGAGCTCCCTTCCTCGACGGGCAAGGCTCTAGTCACAATCCTTCAGAAGATGGCGCAGATTATTACTCAACCGTATGTCGCCATGCACATTCTGGAATTTCTAGCTTGTCTCAGTAGGTTACCCTCCTTATACGCCAATTTTCGGGAAGACGAGTACCGGATTGTCTTTGGAATTTGTTTCCGATACCTACAGTACGTAAGAGGGCGGAAGCAGGCATATAGAATCAGTTCAATCAGCGATTCATCGATAGCTGCCGCAAGCGAGGGTCAATTTAACCCAAATACTTCGGATGATTTACCCCAGTATGTCTATACTCTAGCATATCACGTCATCGTGTTCTGGTTCCTGGCTCTGAAGCTTCCAGACCGTACAAACCACGTTGGGTGGATTGCAAGAAACTTATTTATAGATGTCGATGGGCCCCAAGCATCGGACGAGCAAGCACATCTTACGATGGACTTCATCCAGAGGGTCACGTATGCTGATGTCGATGAATCTGCGGCGGACCCTTTGTTCACTTCCGACAGATTCGGAGAAATACTTAAGAAGAGATGGTTGATTGGAAATAGCATCGTTACGATTGAACAGGCTACGGCTACGGGTTGGGCACAAATAACCAAACGTCAGCCATCTGGAACATCATCGTATACGATACGGGAGCTCTTTCGACCACCTCCGGCACATCAACGTCCTATAAGTGAAAGCTTGAGGGACAGCCATACAGGGATCATAAGCAGCATTTTACCCAACCATCTTCTAGTACAGCTTTTATCCTCTATGCCACAAGGAAACGATCTTTCACGCCCCGTTCCACTACCTGATGATGACGTAGTTAACAGAGCTATAAGGATGTTCGACCACAACTCGACGGTAGATGGCCACAAGGTCGGCGTAGTATATATCGGAGAGAACCAAACACATGAGACGGAAATCCTGTCTAATATTTCTGGCAGTGGTGATTACGTAGAATTCCTCAACGGCCTCGGCACTCTGACCAAACTCCACGGTGCAACGTTCAATACGCAAGGCTTAGACAGGCAGTATGACACGGATGGGCAGTATACGTTCTGCTGGAGAGATAGGGTGACGGAGATTGTATTCCACGTCACCACGCAGATGCCCACAAATCTAGATCATGATCCTCAGTGTACCCTGAAGAAGCGACATATCGGGAACGACTTTGTCAACATTATTTTCAACGACTCTGGTTTGCCCTTCAAGTTCGACACATTCCCATCAGAATTTAATTTCGTCAACATCGTCATCACGCCCGAATCTCGCGCCTCGTTCGTTGCTACTAGGCAGAGAACGCCGAAGGACGTTGCAGAATCGTACTACAAAGTCCGCGTGATGAGCAAGCCTGGGTTCCCCGAGATCTCACCTGCTTCCGAGACTAAGATCGTTAGCCTGAGAGCCCTACCCGACTTCATCCGGCTCCTGGCGCTGAACGCGTCAGTGTTCTCGTTGGTTTGGGCTCACCGCGAGGGTGGTGAGCACGTCTCTGCGTGGCGCAACCGGCTGAGGGAGATCAAGAGGCTCCGCGATAAGTACGGACCGAAGGCGTCGGTGGTACCCCATCAGGGCCATGGGGGTCCGTCGCCCTCGCCACCAGGAACTGCCCTTGGCCATGGCCACGGTAACACGACTTCGCTCGGCAGCACTACCGCTGCCCAATTAGAGGCGGCGAGATCTGGTAGCACGGTTCGCGACAGCTTCAGCAGCCTTCGTCGATCGTCTGTCGCCACCTTCTTCTCCGCCTCGAGCGAGCAGAATTCTCACCGCTCTTCGATGCTGTCAACCGCTACGACGGATAACACAGAGGTCATGACGGCCAACGGGGTGGACGCCCTAGTTGATAGCGTTGACTTCTCTAAATGGTCAGCGTAGTCGCTAACTCCTACTACGCTGTGTTGTGCCACCACCCAGTTTTTTGGGGGGGTTTTCTTTTAACCTCGAAGTCACCTTTTCAGAACGAAAGAATGAAAAGATCAATTACGCCCATCTACGATTTTGTCTACGAAAAAAAAAGCAGGGGGGTTTTCATACGGTTTCAGGGAAGTGTCTTCTCTCTCCGAGATGACAACAAAAAAGCACGGCGTCTAGGCTAGGGGAGGGGAAATACCACTGATGTTTATATTGCCTCCTTTTTTTTTCTTATTCTTTTTTTTTTCTGTTTCTGCTTGTTTATCTACCCAAGGTATTCTGTTTGATTGGTTTCGAAGAAGAGAAAAAAAAGTTTATTTTTTCCATCTGGACATATTACTGCCGAGAATGAATGGCTTATTGTACATGGCTACCTACCTAACCTACCTACGTCTTACTTAGGTTTTACGAAGTCTTGTCAACCCATTATTAGGTACTACTACTATTACTATCTAGACGTACGAGATCCGATAGTGACGTTTTTGTTTTTGGTACTGACTTTACGACGACGATATTTGCGTAACGGAAGGATAGGACGGGGATTGGAAGGGGGAGAGTGAGAGGGTGAGGGTGAGGGTAGGGGTAGGGGTAGGGGCTAATGGGGAAGGCAAATAAAAAAAAGGTCAACTCATTTCGTGATATGATACTATAAAGAGAAGCTAGGCACGCCGCCACAAACAATCCAGTCATATTTTTATTTTATTACAAATTCTTTCTTTTTTTCTCGTTTCTTGTGACTCGTCTTTTTTATTTTCTCTCTAGGTTAGTGTCTGATCTCCTCGCGCCGCGACGGGTATTACTGATCGTAATGTAACGGGGAAAATAAGCGCAGGTAGCACAAAATGCCACTCTGAGTAACTTGCTCTCTTTTTTTTTTTCCTTCCCTTCCTTTCCTCGGCCGCCCGATTATGGTTATGGGGAGGGGAGGGGGGCATGGGATGAAATGGTATGGGGTTGGTTACACAAAGGCACGGGCGAGGAGGGTAAGGGAAAGGACACACATGGCACGAGGTTACGACGGGTGCGTGGTGGCTGGCTTACACACTGCAGCAACGGCGCAGCGCATCGCACATCAGTCATCCAGGTAGGTAGGTAGGTATGTAAGTAGGTAGAAGCACCTATGTATGTATTAGTCGTTGTGGTAGTAGTATAGATTATGTAGGTAGGTAAGAGGTATGTAAGTAGGTATGTGTGTACGCATGTATGTATGTACACGGGACAGGGGGGGTTTTGTTAGTGGTTATGTAGGTAGGTAGTTATGTAGTTAGGCTTAGGTGAGAGCCGCAGAAGCCGGTTGAGAGTATAGGTAACCTATATTTCTCGGCGGGGCTATACCGCATGCGTGTGTTAGTCTTTATGATCTGCCGCCGGGGGAGAGAAGGGGGGAAAGGGGGGAGGGTTGGTAGGATAGGATAACCATAAAAAAAAAACCTACCTGTAATGATATGCGCAAGGTTTCGAGCCCGGAATGCTGCCTCTTTAGTTCGTCGGCAGGTTAGCTCTGCTACCCTACGTAGTTGTAATGCAGCAGCTATGCAAGTCTTATATGTATTGCGTAGGGCGTAGGTAGTAGGTAGTTATGCCAAGTCCTAGATTCAATGTTTTTCAGGTATGTATGTATGTAAAAGATGTTAGTTATATGGAGGTATGCTAAATAATTGTTGATATCAGGTATCTGGGATGTAGGTAAGTTAGGTATGTAAGTCCGTATAACTATGCAACGAAGCACAAGAATAAAGTATAGGCAAATAAAGGGAATTATTTTAAGCTTGTATGATGGTTACGAACGGATGCAGAATAAGTTTTGACGTAGTACATGTGGCAGTGAAAATGGACAAGCGGTAGGGGTATCCCAAACAGGCATTTGGATGTTGTGTGTATTGTACTACCAGGCTCTTTTACTCTGTACCTACGTTATTTCTCTATGCTGACGCTCTCATGCGCCTTCGGGATTTCTGTAAAGAGTTACCGAAGCTGTCTGCACGCTCCGGGTTAAACAGACCGGGGGGAATTTCCTGCGGGTAAGGTAATAAATACCTAGGTAGGTAGGTTAAGTAGGTAGGCAGGTAGGTAGGTACCTAGATAGCATGAAAAGTATTCAGATTCCAATATAGGCGTGTAGGAGGGTAGGACGGGCACATAATGACAATTATGGAAGCCAGTAAGATGTGAGACGAGTACGAACCAACGACACATAAGGGGAAGAGAAGAAAAAGGGGGATTCGAGTATGGTTACACAATGTAGACTTACATGACAACACCTAAGATATATGTATACGATGGTAGGTAAGTAGGTAGGTAGGTAATCAGTAACGAGGGGAAATGTGGTAAAAAGAGACCGGTGTGATGGCGGCAACCAGCCAATCGATCACATGGCTTCGTTTCGTTCCATCCTATGCGCGAGTGGTCTGATGTAGTACACCGGTACTGCGTGCGTTACGTAGTTACAGAGTCATTGAATTTACATATGTGTACATATGTATTAGGCTTGCTTGTGTTTTTTTTTTTTTTTTTTTGGTTTCCGCCCCCGTCGGAATATTTATTGCCTGATCGGAATAGGGCTAAAAAAGATCCAAGTAATACCGATACCAAGAACCTTACCCACGGCGGTCAGCATCTTTCTAATAAGGAATAGTTAGATCCTTTAAGGCTGTTTGACGTAAGGCCTAGCTTACTATGCGTCTCTCGGCCCGCAACCGCTTTAAAGACAAATGTGACAAGAAGAAGAAGAAGAAGAAAATATTTGAGGACCAGGGGGGAAGGGGAGTGGGCAGGGGTGGGAATTGTCCAACCATAGGTACCTACATACATTGCATGAAATATTGACGTAGGACAATTATATGGCCCTTGAATCATGGATGATTTACTTAAAGTTGAATGAGCTAGGCATGTGGACGCGAAGCTCTTATGTACAGATGCATTCTTTACCATTGGGGGTAGCCCTACCAGAAAATCGTCTGTGGAGAGAGATTTCTGACCCTGGTTCGTACTGTAGGTACCGGCATTATGCGGCGGAAATATATATACTCGAAGCGCTCGCTTGCCCCGGGTTGCATAACGGCGACACGTCGCGTGCGTAGGTTTCCCCGTACTTGGACAAATCGGTAAGATAAAAAGGTAAATGTCCCGGGCGGAGTTGGAAGTTTTCGGAGCTATGTTATGTGTTGGTTATGTGTTTTATGTGTTGTGTGTTATGTGTTGAACAACCAACTTTGTTAAATTTAGATTCAACCCGAGCCCTCGAGTTTCCTATCCTATCATTCTTCCATGCTGCTGCCATGGTCGTACATAGTACGCATTATGGTGATTAAACACGCATGGGTGATAGTCACATAGCTAAGGTGTCATTATCGAATAGCCTTCTAGGCCTATTCGTAGTCTTGTCAAACTCATATCTCGAATCAGATTTGATCTGGCTGATTGTTGTAAAAGTCCGCATGTAAGCAATGAAAAAGGCTGTATCACCCTAGGTACTCTCAAGATCTTCTAACACACTGGTAAAATAGTTACTGTTTGTGGTTAGCTCATATTCAGACCGTGGACCGTGGACCGTGGAACGAGACACGCATGTCTCCCGTGGCGGCTCGGCTACCAAGTCCGCGTGGCTGGAATTGGTAACGATCGGAACCACATTTATACCGTATGCTGACAACGTTCAACTCATGTGTGTTGAAAAACGGAAGCACAACTTACGCCTTGTTTAAGCCTTCGCCCCATCGACTTCACGGGATTAGGGGTTTACGAGACTTAAGTGCTTAACTAGTGCTCAAGCAGTAAGATTTACTGCGCTTATATTCCCTGTGTCAGATAGGTCAGATGGGTGAACCTGTCCTCGCGGAGTCTTTACTTGTAAGTACCTACATATAGGTGTGAGGTTGCATATATCCAGCCAATGCATTGCAACTCGCAGCTTTCGTGCGACACATCCTGATTTACCATTGGAGCGGGTCGAAGTTGCAATAGACATTGCACCCTTCTATACAGTAGAGGTACTTTTATCTGAGCTGGTCTGCGTTGTGACACTTCTCTGGGCTCACTATGGTACGTTGATCTGAAGCTCTCCGTATGTCAATTTGCCCACCAATACTGCACGGTAACTTGGCTACGCTTGGGGTAACACAAAATATTAGAGACTATCTGATCTTGTAGGGTAGTACCATTGATCTACGCGTCCGTCTCTACTACAAGAGCATCAATCGAACGAAATGTAGTAGTCCCTTTCAAGTGTCAAATGTCAATCCTGAAGTGGATTGCTGGAAGGATTAAGGGAAAAAGTGATAGAAGTATACTCGGCTTATAAGGACATTTCGTATGATTAGACCTTAGTCGTAAAAATGCCCTATAGCATAACAAGTTATGTTAATTAAAAAGTTTTGCCGGCGAAATTTTCCAATTAAATATATTGAAAATTGAAGTTGATAGTTTTAATTTTAAATTTTGAATATAGCGTAATAATACTTAGTATATTAAAATAAAAGTAAATTAATATTTTAAAACTTTATAAAAAACCTTTAAAATTAGTTTTTTTATTATTTTTGGCGGTTTTTATTGGGATAATATATATATATAAGTTTTAAAAAATTAAATTATTTAAATGCCGGTAGGATTATTAATTACCTTTTACGTAATTATTATTTTTAATTAAAATATAAATATTAAAACTATTATATCTATTTATAAAAAAAGTTGTTTTATTATGGTAAACCTTATTATTATAGAATTAATAAAGCTATCAATTAATATAAAATATAATAAATTTTTAAAATAAATTAAAATATTTTATTTATATTATTTATAAATCCTTATATTATATTTATATACTTTTAATAATAATGGCGTTTATTATAATATAACGTATTATATTAGCTATATTATAACCGGAAATTATTAGATATTAAACGAAAGAAAAAAAAATAATAAAGAAAATCTATTTTTATTAACGTTTAAAAACAAAGTTAAATTTT